ATATATATATATATATATATATATATATATATATATATATATATATAGAGAGAGAGAGAGAGAGAGAGAGAGAGAGAGAGAGAATATCCAGGCTAGCTCAAACTCTCCTGTTTAGCCCCAAGGACAGGATTTATAGGGAAGTGTGCACCCCACTATACCCTAAAGTTCACAGAATCTTCTAAGTCTCTACTTCCTCATTTCATCAACAACAAAAGCCTCGTCATTCATTCAAACAGAATTTGCACTTCACTACAAAGACCAGATTCCAGTACTTTAAGAGTAAATTCATGATGCTACTTACACATAAGAAAATGTCTACAAAGAAACACTGTGCTTAACTAAGAACAGAACTTTTGTTTTGTCTGGTATTGTGTTACTTCTTCTTCTGCAGTTTCATTTTATGTGCATGATGCTTTGGTCATTTTCTGCAATGCCAAAGATAGAACCCTCTATCTTTGCTGTAAGTGCTGTACAGAGCTGTATCACCAGGGCCAGGGCAAAACTTAAAATTCTACAGTCTGACGGAATTAAGCATGTCCAATTAAGCCAAGTAATCATTTGCTTTAGTGTTAATCTTTCACACCTGCTAATTTAAAATTTAAAATTCCTTATTGAAACATCAGAACATTATCCAAAAAATATTTTTACTAAAAATTTTATCTAATGCTATTTAAAATTTTAAAATTCTAATTACTTCCAAAATTGATCAAGTATAAATTTAGGATAATTTTGCAATATGTCAAAAATCATCACAAACTCAAGACAAGTAATACCTAAACCTTACCTAACCTGGGTGCCAAAAATAAAAAGAAATATACAGAGGTCATTCACATTAGAATAATCCTTAGTATATTGCCACTGCCTCTGCTAAATACACAAATAAAGCACTGGTTGCTGATTTACCCAGTGCTCCCTACAACTCAAGCTGGAAGCCTCCAACGTCATCACAGGGCAGCTATCCAGCTATCAATCTTCCTAAGGCCAGACCTAGAAAACATTACATACAATTCTAAAATCTAAAAGGCTCTGAAAATCAAAACTGTACTAATCACTACATCCCACTTAATTTGTTTTTTGGAATAACTTGGAAAATAGTGTAGTAGATGCATATAGGCTGTGACAAAGATTATAGGCCCTGGAGTTAAATGACCCAAGTTCAAATTTCAAGTGTCCTATTTATTGATGAGCTGTGTAAGCATCACATGCTTTTGTTTCCTCATCCAGATCACACTGTTACTGTGGGGAATAGGTGAGTCGTGCTCAGTGGCCAGTGTTAATGCAATCATTATTACTTCTAGTTTAACAATACAGAGCAGATGCATGTAGCTCAGTTGGTAAATTTTGCCCAGCACAAAGGAAATCCTGGATATGATCATAATGTACAACCAGGCGAAACGGTACACACCTGGAATCCCAACACTCCAGAGGTGAGACGCAGGAAGATCATAAGCTTCTAAGTCATCCTCAACAGTGAGTTCAATGACAAATTGAGCTATATGAGACCTTGCCCATTAAAAAAATTAAAAACTGTGTGTGTGTATGTGCGCACGTGCATGCGCACATAAGAGAGAGGTGCATACATATATGTACAGACACATATATTACGGAAATTATGATATAAGGACTTTTTTCAATTTTGAAGGTCACACACCTAATACTGCAGTGGGTGGCAGTTAATGCAGAAATTCCCAACTGGCTAAAATACTGAGAATAAATTCTTAGTGATAAATGGGACACCTACCTCAACCCCCCAAGTCTCAGGGTATATACATCATGGAAAAGGGAATAAGACAAAAACAAAGCAAACAAACAAACAAAAAAAAGCCATGAGAGCTTGAGGATAGCAGTTCCATGCATTCTGGACATGACATAACCACTGCACTCATGCATCCACTGCAGCTGTGGTTACATGCACAAGATAAGACTCCCCAAATATTTTATCACAGATGGGGGAGGAAGCCATGAGGCCCCACCCCCAGGACCTACTGACAGATAATGGTTACTGAAGGGTGGGTCCTTGTCTTCAGTGGTGTGCCTGAGTGTCTACCCATACTCCAGTATTAAACACACACCTACAAGCAACTTGAACTCAGTGGAACACACACAAAAAAAGCTAGACAGGATTACTGGGCAGAAGAAATGACAAAACAGAATAAGAGTTAAAAACAGACTTGTAAAAGTCCTCTATACATGCATGAGATGGTCAGAGGATCTTGTTTAGTTCCCCCACCCCCCAAGACAAGGGTTCTCTGTGTAGCTCTGGCTGTGCTGGAACTCACTCTGTAGACCAGGCTAGGTGGCCTGGTGTGGTGAAACCTCACAAATATCCACCTGCCTCTGCCTCCCAAGATTAAAGACTTGTGCCACTGCCAAGCTTTTAAAAGATTTTTAAAAGACAAAGAACAAACAAACAAAAAACTCTTTCATATCTCAGATTCAAGAAATAAAAGTAAAAAAACATTTATGCCTCTTGATATAAT